AAGTCGGCCATCTTTGTTTGGCTCAAGTCGGCCATCTCTGTTCGGCCCAAGTCGGCCATCTTTGTTTGGCCTAAGTCGGCCATCTTTGCTTGGCTTAAGTCGGCCATCTTTGCTTGGCTCAAGTCGGCCAAACACGCGGTCCACTGACACCGTCGAAGCGACCTCCTCCGGTTTCCGTGACCATTTATCTGGCTCGTTTGAGCCTGGGACACGCGTAAGCTGGTGGGAGACTGGCAGTCGACTCCTCCGACGGCTGGTTTCCAAGTCTACTCTACAGGACTGTGAGTAGTGCAGTCGACTTCACTAGTAAGCAAGGGTTCGCTTCGTCGACAATCGATTGTGCGAAACAGTGCTCGGCTCGCCAGCCTCGTCTGTACCACGGCGACAGACGTCATCAGAGCAGGACTGCCTACTTTGCAAGATGTGCCAAGAATGCACCCAACCGGCACTACACAATCCGGCAGTCTTCACTGCGCGCTACTCCTCCGGCTCTGTCGAACTGCTTCCCACCAACTGGACCCTTCGAAACGAACATTCGTGCCACACTTTCCCGCCGAGACACTCTTCGAAAGCCGCTTCTTCTCCACGACGAAGCGGTGGGCTGCACCACCACAACCCGGGCTCGAGTCCCACTGCAGAGAGGACAGGTGCGGAGTCGCGACGCGATCGAAGCTGTAGCCAACCTCGGCGGAGGAATGAAATCAAACGGCATCGTCGGACTCGTCGTCGTCGGCACCTCGTATTCCGGATCATGCGGCAACTTCAGACCCCTCTCAGAGACCGTTTCACCTCGTCCGCAGCCATGCTGCTTTCCAGATTCAGACCATGAACTCGCTGCGCTTCTCCGAATGCTTCGCCCGCATCCGCAGTCGGCGTTGTCGCTCGCGGCGTCACTCGGCAACTCGTTACAGACATCGCCCTGGCAACACGGCCAAGTGGCGGAGACGAGATCAAAGCACTGATGTGCGGCCATGACAACAGTCCTCGGCCGTAGTTATGGCCATACCAAATTAGTCGCTCAGCTGCCGTCTGTACTTTGGCCGGCGTCCTTGGCTCGTAGTGCCGTCCTTGCCTCTACCGCCAGCGGAAGCGTCGAGAGCATTCACCGGCTCGTTGCCACGGCCTGATTTTGTACACTCTGGACCCGTGCTTTTCCGTCATCCCCACTTGATGCCGCATGTCAATCCAGAAGCATGTATGTGTGTGGGCACAGGTGGTTAGCCAGTTTATGCGAAGGAAAAGCGGATCTCGACGAGCCTCCCACAGACGACATTGTTGCGGAGACCTTCGGTTCGCACGAGGGAGGAGATCCGCAGGTCGAGCCTAATTCCCGTTGCAGCCAAGTCTCCTTGATCTGATGCTAAATTAAGATCGTCGAGTGGCATGAAGAGCGAAAGATCAGATTGCTTAGACTGATGTTCCGTATGTAAGTAGAGTCTCGAGACTACCAGTAAATCAGCAGTATGAGATGTGTTCACCCTAGTCCTTTATCACTTCAAACGAAATAGTGAATACATCTCATATTACTGATTTACTGGTAGTCTCGAGACTACTTAAATACGAAAAATAAGTAGCATAGTCGATTGTTATAGCAAAAATTCATTTGCTTCATCCACCATCCTGCCAAAGGATACGAAATGGAAAAAGGCCTGGGCTTCCTTGAAATTCACATCTGCCCTGCGACCCAAGGGCACTTGTGGCAATGTGGACGAGAGGTTAACATGTCAAGCTCCCATTCTGCACTTTCACGGTTCTACTCCCGCTGGGAGTGTTGATAAGACCGTTGCGAGGTTGAAACTGCAGTCCACTGGTGCCTGGATGAGAACAACTTTTTGGAAAGTAAGGCAATGTGAAATTCCATGGAAATGTCAGCTTTACTCGTATGATTGTGAGGAAATTCTACTACCAGTCCTTCATCACCTTACACGAAATAGGGTGAATACATCTCATACTGCTTAGACTGACTCGAGTAGCGATAGTGGAATATTGCCCCGGGCAACCGTTGAGTTTCGCGTCCGAGCTGGAGTGGGCTGCATTCAGCACCAGCAACAGGACTCGACGCCCTCGAGTGCATTGACGAACGCATGTTTGCTTAATCGACAATTGAAGTGTGGCTTGGATACTGCCTGATTTGTCTCGGACGCCACGGCTACGTCGTGACCCTCTTTTTTCGCCGCAGCTACCCGGTGGAGCGGCAATGTCCCCATGACGCTCAAGGCCCGGACTCACTTTCCGTCGAGACCTTTCCTTTCTATTTATAGAGTGGGTTAACCTCTTTGTCGCAACTTGATCTTGTTGTCAGGGCGACATAGCAGAACTCACCTTGTCCGAAGTCGTCTGCCATAGTCGTCAAGATTTCCAGCATCAGACAGATAAGGCAAGTTCGAATCTCCACTCCACTCCGGGCTGGATGAGGTGGCTTTTTAGGAGGCAAGGCCAGGTGGTATTCAATGGCATCCCGAGGCCTACTCATCTCGTCGTGGAAAAACAAGCACCATCACTCCTCAACTCATCCACGACGGCCTAGGCTGAGTGTTTACTCAACAACTGTGCATAGTCTCGAAGCCTGCTTCTATCTGAAATGAGTAAGTAAGCAAACACATACTCGAAGGCATGAAGACTAAGATGGTGTGACCTTTAGTATGATCGTGGTCTCCCGTTATTGCATAGAAGTTTTTCGACTTTTGCAACTTGCTCCTATCGGCATGAAGACGTAGAGGAGCGTACCTAGTCCGGAGTCCATAGTCGGACAGTGGACTTGGTACATTTCCAGACGCTTCGCCGACATCGACAACGAGCATTGCTACTCTTGGCAGCGCAAATTGTCTTTGTTCGGCTGTAATCGGTACATTGCCTGTCAATCTTACTTTCATATTTTCATCGAAGGTGTGAAGCCCGATTACACAACTTGACAACTGAACAAAGAAGACAATTTGTGGTGCTAAGACTGGCAGGGCTCACTGACGATGTCGACGAAACGCCTGGGAATGTACTAATTCCACAGTCCGACTGCAAATTATCGGTCGTACTATGGACTTCGGACTAGGTGCATTCTTCTGGGTCGTCCTGACGATATGAGCAAGTTGCGAAAACGGGGTCAAACAACTTCTAAACTCATGCTTGCTTTATTAAGCAAAATTGCGTTTCGAAGAAGCCCTTAGTGACCTATTGAGGCATGACTTCCCGTCTCGAAGGCAAATTTCGTTGGAAGATATTCGTGAAATGGTCTTACCGCAAACCAAAGGAGGATCGCCGTAGAGTGGAGACTGCTGGATTGTACGAACAAGTCGTTGGCTCAGCGTCCTGCAACCCTCCGATGAACCTGTGCCAAAACTCTCGTCTGCTCATCTACGGCAGTCATCATCAGAGCAAGAATGCATACTTCAAGAACTGACACTCGTATCTGTCAGTGATAAATGTCGCCATGATACTCACGACCCGGTATCGAATCCAGCTGCGAGTAATGCTGTTGCTGCTGATGATGATGATGACGATGAGGCGAGGCAGAAATTGCAATCCAGCTTGGATGCGATAAGCTTTTGGAAGGCATCATAAAGCCTACTCTCATCTGATTGCGGGAAAAATTCAATTATCGCTTCTTAAACCATCTTAATCGACTTAAGTTGACCGAGTTACTACGTAACCGTATGCAACCAACATAATTATGACAGAGCGCAGTATCCTAAATTAATTGCATGGAGGATGTCCCTCTGAGGATGTTTGATTAACTAAAGCCTTAAACCCGAGGTAATGAAGACCAAGATGGTTGAATCACAGTCTCTTTTTGTTGTGTGGTAGTTGTTTGACAGTCTTCACGACCTTTTCGTATTTCCAGAGAGATATGAACGGATGCACCTTAGCCGGAGTCCTCTGCCATAGCATCTATGATGATCTCCCTAATGTCGGGCCGTGTATTTCGTGTATTCCCAGACGCTTTGCTGACATCCTAGTCGGTGCAAATCCTAGGACGAAACTAAAATTATTCATATAGGCAAATGAAGCCGTTCCCTTGACTTCTGAACTTATCCCAGGGCCTTGTTTCATCGACCTTTTCCTATCACGACTTCTAATTTGCTAATTTTTTCCTACTCCAGTGAGTGAACTACCAATGAGATGCCCACTCTTCCCTCTTTTGACAAATAAGTACATGGGCAACTTAGAAAAAGAATTCAGGAGAATGTATGCAATTCAATATGGTGGGGCTTGCAATATGGTCAGGGCCTTGTTTTCGCAATTATGTCGTACTGTCATGGCAACCTACATTAATACAGCTTGTCCAAACCCCTCTGTAATAGTAGCCATGACAATTTCTGGAAGTTTTGCCTGCATCGTAAGTGAAACTTGCCAGTATTTGCATCCAACTGCAAGTAATCCTCGAACACGAGGGAGGTTGTCCAAGGGACCGTATCATCCAAAAGGTTTCACTAAGGCTGAATAACGATGGCTCAAGTGGAGTTCATCATCGTCTTCTGAGGAGATCGACCTTGGAATCTCTTCTTTACACTTTCATTCGAAATGGAAGTGGGTAAAATAAGAGTTTCCTCCCCCTCCGCCCTCAGCAAAGAACATTCTTTCTCTCCTTTGTAAGGA